TTTATAGCAATGTTTGGAAGGCAAGTGTATAGAGAATGGTCGTTTCACAACACCACAGAGATTTCATCAGTGATAAGTGCAGCAGTTTTTGACCAAACTCAACATTCTCCAGGTTTGATAACCGCTATTTTACCCATATTTCGACCATTGCGACACTTTACTCTAGAGAAATCAAATCCCACTTGAAAGAAACAAGATTACAAAATGTAGAAATCCAAGAGAATGCAACGAGGCAGCTGCTCGCTATCCCCAAAAATAGGTGTTCTAAAGATGCTTTCTTCAACGGAAGAGTGTGAATTCTTCGAAGGTGATTAAATGCCGAATTGATAAGTGTTGTAGTTATCTTTTTATAGCATCAGTCTCGATACATTTAACCATCTCCTCTCTATATAGATGAATCTTACGATAATTAATCACTTCCTACTCTTAAAAAATATTTAAAATACAAATTAAAATAAATAAAATTAGTTTCAGTTCAATTCAAGAGAAAATAATAATTTCCTCATTTAGAATATTTGCACAACATAATCTTTCTTCTTCAATTTTTTCGATTTGACTTATTAATTTATAGGTTTAATAAAGTTATTGAAGTTGACCATTTTGATTCGATTTTGAAGAGGCACCTCCCTCAAAGTGACAACGGCAGCGATCTAAAAAAAAAAAGCAAAAGATTTCTTGCACCAAAAGATCTTCACTATTTACCTGAATTGGCTACCGCAGACAATAATTTTTTTCTGTGGCATTTTCATACAGTATATGCTAAAAATACAGTGAGGAAAAAGGATAGAAATGAGCAAACGATAGAAAATAATGGTAAAGAAAATATGACAATTTCTCTCCTCATTAATAGCGAGCCATTATTGTCGGAGGACTATTTTCAATATGATTTGACACAGGAAAGAGTAAGTAGAACTGCTGTTTATTATATGTTTTTAATCTGATTTTTTATGTTGCTATGCTGAATTCAATGTAGGCAGCATGTCTGTTAAAGAATATTATCATGCAGTTGTTTCTGTGTTCTACCCCCCCTTCCATTATATATGTATGTATTTGAGCAGCAAACCTTCTTTTATGCAAGTTTGATTAAAGACAACTGGCCAGGTACTGCGATTAAGCTTTTTATTTATTTTTTGCGTTTTTTTCTGAACGTAAAGTATGTAACATTTCTCCAAATGTTCTATATATTCAAGCGCTTTCGGCTATTTTACTAGCAATTATCAAGGATGTTTTAAAATTTAGAACTGAATGTGTAGATGTTTATATAAGTTCCTAGAGGGATGGGATTTTTTTTCTCACTCTCACGTATGAATATACGTGCGGTCATGAGGGTGATGAAGTCACAATGAAATTACGCATGAGTAAAAGTTAAAAATAGTTAGCAGAAATTTGTTCAGAGCGAGTTGTACTACCAAACGTTGAATACATTATACATGAAGGTATATATATATATATATATATATATATATATATATATATATATATATATATATATATATATATATATATATATATATATATGCTCCTATTTCAGCAGTTCTTTTTCGCATTCATGTTTTTTTTTATTCTACTCAGAATTGATTTGAATATACTTTAAATGAATTCTCTCTCCAAATACAATATATATATATATATATATATATATATATATATATATATATATATATACAATACAAAAGTAAACATTTACGTCAACGCTCTGAGGCAACCGTGTTTCATACTAAACGCAATTGTCATGCTATCTCTCTCTCTCCGTCTTTTATATATATATATATATATATATATATATATATATATATATATATATATATATATATATATATATATATCCGTGTGAAGGGTCCACGTATAGAATGCATACACTGTATACCTTACATTTTTCTAGGACATATAATTTTTTTTTACAAAATTAATTATTGATAATTTTACTATCCTCTTTGTATTTGTATTTTTAGTATTTCTCATTTTTTCATTTCTTAGGATAATTTTTACAAGCGATGTTATTTAGAGAGTGTATGTAGAGAAGATACTTGTTTAGTGAGAAAAGACGCAAGTAAAAGCAATGAATTTACTAGCCTTCTTAGTAGGGAGCCTAAGAGACTGAACATAATATTGCATGGGTGAATGAGAGACAGTCACAGAAAAGCTGAAATTCTTTTGCTTGCCCTTAGAAAAGGCCTTCCCTATTTTCTTATTTCATTCAAGCTGGTTACAGAGAGAAAGCCACCGAAAATCAGAGATTATTTTGCTTGCTTTCCAGCCGTATTAAGGTATCAGACACTCTACTAAAGTTGTGATATTTTTATTGCGTGCAGCTTGAATAAAAGAATAGCCTATTCAAAGAAATTTTAATCGGACCGATTTAGACGAAAAATTTGTATTATTCTGTTTTGAAAGGAACGTCTGACGACTTTATTGTAACATTAAAAGTATTTTTATCTGACTTTTAAAAAGTTTTAACCCAACGGAGAGTATTCTTGACCCCTTCTTAAGACCATGATTCAGTCATGTGACCATTACCCAAAAAATTTTTCACCAGTTCATATGTGGAGTGAAAAGGAGTAACAGACAGTCTATTTTTTGTGATTAAAAAATGTTTTTATCTGTTTCAATGCCTTAAGATTTAATTTTAAACATTCAAAACTATTTTTTAATGTTAAATTTTATTAAAGGACATTTAGACAGAAAAATTCACCGCAATGCTCAATTTTAAAATTAAATTAAACGTATTTAAATTCAAATTCCATGTACTAATGTTGGTGTTATTTCAAAGAAAAAAGGTCGAACTTTATCTGAAAAGAACATTTGGATAATTAATGAAATTTAAATTAAAACGATATTTATTCCGCTTACGTCAAAATTACAAATTATCACTTTTTTCAGCCATCGATCAACGCCATTTTCTGACACCTGTCGTCAAGCGATAAGAAACTTATATAAACATTTTTTTTGAAAATTAAAATAAATATGTCTACGTCTCGTTAAAACAGAAACTGTTAATTTATTTTTTCTTGTAACAAATAGCGATTACCATCGTCGCCTGGATATTACTAATGGACGGTAGTGGGTGAGGGACATCAAGTCCAGTGGAGAAGGGAATCAAGTCTGAAGCGGACCTTGTTGGTAGAAGTGTACTTTCTCACATTATAATTAGTTCAAATCACATTCACGGAGTGGGAGGCAAATGATTTTCCGGGGAGCGGTGGGGGGAGTAGAGTGAGATTTTCCATTTCCCTCTCCACCTTGGCGATTAGCCTCCATAATGGACTGCATGTCCTAGTTCCTAAGTCACCCTTCGTCTTATATATATATATATATATATATATATATATATATATATATATATATATATATATATATATATATATATTATTATTATTAAATATAACAGACAATGAATGTCTATTATGTCTGATCAGGAGCCGTCCTAAAGTTCGAATGTTTATTTTTAAGTTCGAAAACCTTGGACGAATTTAATAAAATATATCCAAATGTTGGACAATTTTGTCTTCATTTTCACCAGAAATTAAAGCAAAGTTTCTAACATTAGAAAGGTCTTGTTCAGACATAACAGACATTCATTGTCTGTTATATTTAATAATATATGTTTAAATAATGATCTGCTTCCCTAATACACTATATATATATATATATATATATATATATATATATATATATATATATATATATATATATATATATTAAAAAAAGGTGAAATGAAGGGAAAATCAGAATAAGAAGAGGCAAATAAAGAATATAGACAGAGGGGTGAAAAGGTAAAAGAAATGACGAAGAAAAAATGGGTGATTACAGTGAGGAAAGAAGCGGCAATAGAGAGAAAGAAAAAAGAATGAAAATAGACTGCAAATGTTACAAACGTTGGCATGAAATGGAAGAAAGGGAAAAAAGAAAAAAAGAAGGAGTAGAGAGTAAGAAGAAAGAAAAGAAAAATGGAGAATCGGGTATAAAATGGGAATTAAAACAAATAGAGGCAATAGGGAATGATGATAGAGGAATAGGATAAAGGAAATAAGCAAGGAGAAGACAGGATGATGGCAATAATTTCAAGAAAGAGGACTAGATGAAGAAGAAGAAGAAGAAGAAGAAGAAGGAACGAAGATGATCATGATGATTTCAGAAAATTAAAAAGGATAAAAAAGAAATTAGAATTACTTTTCTTTCATTTATTTTGCCCTACATTAGCCTCAGAAAAAAAATAAAAAAATATATATTAAATGTAGAAGACGTATTTTCCATAAAAAGGGATCATTTAATTGATAGCTACTTGGAGACATGACTTGAGTTATTATGAGTGGAGTAGTAACAACAGTAGCAACATCAGTAACGACAACAACAACAATAGTGATAAAAATAGATGAAAGTGTTCGCTGTTCCCTGACGTAAGGTTTAAGGTTCAGTCAATTTACGCATGTGCAGGAGGCCAAAAGGAAATGCTTGGGGTTGGGACCAACTGTTTGAAACTTTCAAACCGCTCCACCGATCACATGACAGTTAGTGGATAGTAGAAAAGATGCATCGCTTGTTTTAAAGAGGTCGATAGGCGAAGAGGTTTCAAGATGTAATTTGATCAGAACACAAAAAGATGAAAAGAAATCGTACAAAAAAAGAATCCGATTATGAAAAATTAAGAGGGAAAATAAAAAGGAAATGTTTACGTTGATAGAGAAAAGGGGGAACGGAGAGAAAGAAGAAATAAAAAAAAAAAAAAAGAAAATTAATGAAAAAGAAAAAAAATAAGCAAACGAAAGCCAAAAGATGGTTGTGAATAATGAATAGAAAAAAAAGTAAGATAGAGTAGTAGAGTATAAGAAAAATATGAGGGAAAAGAGAGAAGAAAAGAGTGTAGAATGAAAGTTGAATGAAGAGAGTGTGAGAGAGCGAGAGATAGAAAAAGAGAGAGGTGAAGAAGAAGGTTAAGATAGAAAAATAAATGAAGTAAATAAGAAGGCAGAAGATGAAGAAAAAAGGTCTGGGGAATTAGAATGGACGCGAAGGAGGAAAGATTGGCGAGAGAAGACGTGAAAAGAAGGGAAGACTTTTCGTGATGGCATTAAGAATAAGCAGGTGATGGCCACGTAAAGAAAATAATTTCAAGCAGCAAAAACGACATTTACCAAATATGCAGAGGAAAACAGTAAAATAATTGAGAACTGCTTGTACTATAAAAAAGAATGACAAACGTTAGTATATAGAGTAATTCCCAAAATAAAGGTTACGCAGAGAACACCTAAAAAGAGAAAACGGAATACTTGCATCCCGCAATAAATACAGCAGGACATACTATACTAAAATGAAAATCATGCCAAATAAAAGAAAACAAATACATCACTGTCTTTGTGGTGAACAGACGGGGCCATAATGGCAAAATTAGCCATTTCTATATAGGAAATATTCATCTTTCATTGACTGACCGGTTAATCTGTCGTTTAAAATTTATAAAATCTTTTTTTTATGAAAACAGTTTTTCAGAAAATTAAACTTCTCATGTCCAGTAATTGTTGTTGCTCTTTCTGACTGACAGGAATTCCCAACCAATTTTTGTTTTTGGTTGTGTGAAAAATTAGCAGCTGAATTATATCAACCTTTGTATCTTATAGTTATATGAACGACCTATTTGTTGTTGTTATTTCTACTGTTTGAAAGATGCAAGTGACTTTTGTCGTATAGTAAATCTTTTTGTTTGTGAATTTGTAGTGACAAAGTATTGAATTTAATGCAGGATCGTCTCCTTTAAGATTTTTGGGTTACTCCACTTGGCTCCACCAAAAGCGCCAATTAGAAGGCGCTCTTTAAGTCTATACAAAGGCAATCATATCCTCTCTCTTCTTTTTAACTCTTGCTTTCAGATGTAGCCGAAGGTAGAATAAAGATTCTGCCGACGGGGCGCGTTCTCTTCCTTGGTACTCTCTCATTTGAATTCACTCAAAAGATTCACATATAGGCACGTGTCTATCACAAACGTTTATTTGTACTCACACACAAACAAGCATGTTCTCATAGTTAGTTTTAATGTCTTTTCCTTTCATTGAAATTGTATACACATGTAATTTCTTTTTGTTACTAACATGCATTGTCATTTGTTTTATATTCATTGTTTTGTGTTTCTTATTCTACCTGGACTCACATGGATCCGCCAATATTGTTTGCGGAATAAATGTTCAATGAATTGATAAATATTTAATGTAAAATGTTCGCACACATCGCAACCAAAGAGGGAATACCTGTAACATAATGGTGAATAACCGAAAACAATATTACCCTATAACAGATTTATTCGTCTGATGCATTTTTAACCATTATCCTGAAAAAACGGGTGTATACACATAAGTGTTTAGAGGTTTTTGAGTGACACCATGCATGACATCCATATAAGAGCTGACAAACTTATTTCAGAACATGACTCAAGTTCCCAAATTTATACTTTGATGTTGGAGTTTCTTACAGTGTTGGACAATTGATTGATTGTGTTGGACAATTGATTGATTCACTGATTCGTTTTAAGGCTTATCAAACCTTTGCAGGTTATTTAAAGTCAGGAAATATTTTTTAGATTGTAACATTTTTTCTGGAGATAGTAATTAACACATAGCTGGAGGATAACTTTCCCAAAGATATTTGCGAGTAGGTGAACATAACGACTCCAACTGAAACTGGAACTCGGCTCTCCGATTAATAATTCTCCATTACACCAACCGTACATCCAAGCTTACAGCACCTGATATCCACAAGCGGTCACCCATTTAGGTAGTGACCAGGCTAGACGTTGCTTAATTTCGGTGATTGTACGGGAACCAGTGTTTGAACGTGATGTGGTCGTAAGCCGTGATATTGTCGAAGTCAGCTAAATTGAAAGTAATGGATTATTGCTCTTTCTGACATCGAGATTTGAGTCTCTTTTCTGATAATAGCATGAAACCTTAATAATAATATTTAATTGCTTTCGTGTTTTTCTCGAACACCCTTTGATTTGTCGTGGCCGGTAATAAAATCACAAGAAAAAATGTCACAGAAAAAAGTCACAATTTTCTGCTAGAAAAAAACACACATAACAAAGGTACAAGTTGATTTTGCTCGTGACAATTTTAGTATAGATGAACTCAGTGCAGCAGAATTTTGAACCACGCTCATTACTGTCAATAATTTCCATGGGATGGGGGTATCAAAATTATTTTTCACTAAATTTAAGTGTTGTTGATTCACAACAGTATTGAGATCCGAGATTTCCATTATTCACGTTGTCTCTAGGGTTTGGGTTAGGTGTAGAGTTAGGGTCTTTCAAAGAAAATCGGAGAAACATTGCCAATATTGTTTTGTTTTTAACTTGATTATTTTTTCAAATTCGGAAAAATATATATCACCCTCGTATTTTTTTCCAATGAAAAGTGTGACTTTTACCATTGTAAACTTGGAGTCGATCTCCGTTTGTTCCACCCGAGGATATTTAAGGAGGGGCAGTGGATTAACGGGAAGAAATTTGTTGGGAAAAGGCTACTGGCAATAGCAGAAAAATGTAATACCTCACATAGGAACAAAGCCGGCTGGCTGCAAAAAGGTTTTTAGGATTCTTCGTGTGAAAGTCGCCAGAAAAACAAAAGGCAGAAAGATTTTGCCATTCTTAAAAACTACGTCGGCGGAAGAAATTTCAAAATAACATGGAACTCTATCTGCATATAGTTTCGTAATCAGATATGAAAGAAAAAAAAAACTTCAAAGGTCTATGACGGGAAAATTTCGCTTGAAAGCATAAAATTGGCTTGATTTAACTGTCAGTTACTTCGTGGCCAAGCGCTAAAAAGAGCCGAGTTAAACGCTGACTCTTTGAAGGATGCAGGTTAGATTCGTACCGAATTTTAAGATTTCTCGAATAGTCAAGCCGGTAGATGAAAATAAATAAATATATACAAATATCCACTAAAAATAACGTTTACAGTAATTCAAATCAGTCAAATTAATAAAAATCAATTCTAAAAGAAATATATGCAATTATAATTACGGCATTACTGTAGATTTCCAATTATTATATAATTCGTAATAATCTATCGATTGTATTTTTAAATTACTTAATTATAGACTCATTTTATTTCTAAATTTTCTGATTTTCAGCGAAAGTAATATTAAAGTAATATTAATTTATTAGATTAGATTGTAACTATCGCATATTACAAAAACTCGGTAAATATTATTAGCTTACATGTATTAGTTATTTATTTAATGTTTTATTTTTATTTATTTATTTTTTTAATTTATTTTTATTTTTGATTATTTCATATATTTTGTTTTTACTTTTCCAGTTTTTGGATACTAATCTTTAATTCTAACATATTCACACACACACACACAGACACACACACACACAGACACAGACACACACACACACACACACACACACACACACACACACACACACACACACACACACACACACACTGAATATTCATTTCTTTATTTGAACTCAATTCAAATCTTTTTTTTTGCGCTGGGCATTTAATCAAAGTAAATGTGGCCTTCAGATATACCTCATGATAATTGTTGATATATACTAAATTATTAGGGCACAATTTCAGTTATGAATTCAAAGTCAGTAGATTTAATAAGGGTCTTTGAGATTAAGTTGCTAACCCTTGCTTCCTAGCAAGGCGTGTCTTTAAAAGAAATTGAAATGATGTCAGTAATCTTGAAAATTTAATTTAATAGAAAATTGTTAACGATATTTATCTTTACAAACTTAACACATCTAGATGGTACATGATTACTCATGTCCTGAAAATAAACACACACACACACACACACACACACAAGTGGAACTCGTGCTTACGATCAATCGCTAAAGAAGCGGGGCGGCTCCCTGTACGCTTCCTGCTATTCTTTACTTTTACAAGTGCCAGATCAAGCTGAAAATGGAGTACTGCGTCATTTTTTAGTCTCGATAGAGTCCAAAAGCGTCCTTGTGGGGGGCGGATCCAGCCAGCAATCACTTTTCACAGACGAAACATAGCAAGTCTCTCGCTGTTCTGTCGCTGATAGAATGTGTTCAGACAAACTACTTTCCTTGGTTCCATCAATTCTGACTTTTCCGGTGATGACCCGGCATGCAACGCGCATTGTAGGGAACTGCCTTCACTCCCTTTGTATTCCACTGGTGAGAAGTAAGCTCCACCCAAGCAGCATGCTTCCTTGATCACGACAATCTTAACCTGTTCAAGTCTAGGGGTCGACCGTTATCTTATCACATATCCTCCTAAACTTTGTCTTTTACTCAGTAACCCTCTACCTCGATTGGCTTTTGAGCTTTGTATATGGTAAACATCATTGTAATAAAAAGAAAGAAATATTTTATTATTTCAAATGCAAGACTAAAGGTACCTAATTGTTTCGAAGCTGTTGATATTGATCAAATCAGAAGCAAGTGGGTGGGAAACAATGGCTACAGACACAGGCGACGAAACCGATTTGCATTCTTCGATTTGTCGTTTTCTTTTCTTTTTTTTGCATATCTACGATACTTACATTCGTAGACTTTGGAAGACGTGACAATTCCAATGTGCTAACCATCTTTCACTTTTATTGAACCGAGATAATCCAGACCGAGATGCAATCAAAGGAGATAAATAACAGAAAGAAAATGAATTAATGGAAGCAGATCAATGAAAAAACATACAAACAAGTAATTTTTCTTTTATTTTGTTTTCGATTACCGACCGGATCAGTGCTAAATAAATTGAACATTTGTCTCTTCGCAACCCAACCCAGTCGATTTTTAAATGAAAAGAAAAGAATCTGTTACTATTATCGAAAATTGGTCTACATCCAATATATCAATGAAATTCTTTTTATTTAGAAGGGTTAGGGTTTGATTTTCACTGAATTTCGTTTTTAATTGTATTCCGGTGACGTACTGTTTGCGCGAGCGTTTCTTACAAATTTTACGTCATTTTCTATTTTTTCTTCAGAGTTTTTTCTCTTTTTTTGTTCTTTATATCTCGTCCTTGAAATTTTCTCATCACTTGTTTTATTTTTTATTTTTCCGTTTGCTAAATACGCTAGCAATATCGCCAATCATTCCTTTGTCTCTCCTTCAGTTATCCTCCCTATTTGTTTCTCTTCAACTTATCAACGTTTTATTCAGTTTTTATTGTTCATTTTTAATTTTATTCTGTTTATTATTTTTTACTTTTTCTTTACTTTTTCGAATTTGTACCATTTCTTCCTTTTATAATAATATTTCTCTTTCTTTCGTTTTATATCAATATTTTCTTCATTTTTTTCTTTCTATATTTCTTTCTTTCTGTCCTTGCTTCATTCGTTCTGTCATTCTTTCTTTAGCTTTATGTCAATATATTTGTTTTTCTTTTTCTCTTTCTTTAATTTTATGTCAGTATTTTCTTTGTTTTCGTTTTATATCAATCTTTCTTTCGTTTTAATTACATTTTATGTCAATATTTTCTTTCTTTTTTCGTTCGTTATATGTCAATTGTTCTTTCTATCATTTTACGCCAATATTTGTTTCTTTCGTTTTATGACTATCTTTCTTATTCTCTATTTTTATTTCTTTCATTTCATGTCAGTCTTTTTTCTTTTATGGCAACATTTTCTTCCGTTTGTTTTTCTTTCTTTCTTTCTTTCTTTCTTTCTTTCTTTCTTTTTTCTTTCTTTCTTTCTTTCTGCTTATTTCGTTCGTCCATTCGCTTTATATCAATCTTTCCTTCTTCCGTTTTGTGACAGTTTTTTCTTTCTGTCATCCTTTCTTTTTTTCTTTATCTCGTTTGTTCGATTTAAGTTAATTTTACTTTATTTCTTTTTAATTACAATCCTTCTTTTCTTTTTTTTCTTTCATTTTATGGTAATCATGCTTTCTTTCATTCTCTTGTTCATTCATTATATGTCAATCTTTCTTTTTTCGTTTTATGTTAATATTTCCTTCTTTCGTTTTATGACAATATTTTTTTCTTTCTTTCATTTTTTTCAATCTTTATTTCTTTCGTTCATTTTATGTCAATGTTTCTTTCATTTTATTCCAATATTTTCTTTGTTTCATTTTTCTTTCTGTCTTTCTTTCTTTTGTTCATTCGTTCGTTTTTATGTCAATTTTTCTTCTTTCGTTTTATGCTACTCTATCTTTCTTTCTTTTGTGTTATTCACGTATTTCTTTTTTCATTCATTCTTTTTTTTTTGTATTATGTTAGCCTTTCCTTTCTATACTAGCTTGACGGCTCGCCCATTTTATCTGGGACATTGAATAAGGCGCTAAAGGAAACATCTTCAAAGAACAGTAAAAGGGAAATCAACAAAAAAGGATGTTTTCCTTTTTTCAAATCGTCTAGCCATTCCTTGCTGTTTGGGTTGCAATGCTCAGAAGCATATGCACAGAAACTCCTTTGGTGATACTCTACGAATTCTATACCGAATTCAATTATATATTTATAATTTAATTATCTGGTTGGAAGGAAAATTATCATGGTTTATAAATAAATTTGATTGCTTAGAAACCACGAGCACTTCTTTTTCAATCAGATATATAGTCGTATGTCCAAAACTTCCCTAAGCACATCACGGATGTGTAATTAGTCTCATTTTTTATTTTAATGACTTGATGTTATTAAATATGGGCGACGAATATAAGAGACCATCTTTAATCACGCTAGGACTGTCGTAAGGTACTGTGAGGCTAAATTAAGAACATTTTTGATGTGTCCCTAGGCTTACAGACAAGGTCAGTAGAATCAAAACAGATAAATCATAAGTCAATTATAGAGTTTATTTTTTACGGTAGAATAGAAAGAAATTAAATTGTGGGCTTAAAAGATGCATGTGTGTTAATTGACCAAAACGAGGTTTTTGAATTCTGAAAAGCACAGCAATAGCTTCTAAATGAGCCATATTATTATTATTATTATTATTATTATTATTATTATTATGTCTTTGTGTTTTTGTTGTATATATATATTTCCATTCGGGTCTCATACAGATATCTAAGCTCAGAAATGGCTTCATTTTTGTAAAAAAAAAAAAAAAAAAAAAAATAACAAAGATCAAACACATTTTACATAGATAAAGCTCTTCGTAATGTGTGAACTGTACTTGTGAGTAGAATTTTTTGTATTTCTTTAAGGCATGGACTACCAGGAATCCCTTCAGTGAGTTTATCGGAACCTTTTTCAATCTATCCGACAGCTTCAGTTATAACTGAAATTATTGATGTCTTCATGTGCCAAATTAGATTTCTACATCAAGATCCTTGTATTTTGATAGTTTTTTGAAGAAACTTCAAAATACTTTTCATTTTGCAGGGACTGCCATGTCAATAAGAAAGCACATTCTGTTCTTGTGGTCTTTGATCACTATGTCTGGACGACTAGTTTTGATTGTTCTGTCTGTGTGTATTATTATTATTGTTTTTATTTTCTTTGATTTCTGGCGTTTACACATTTCTTTCCGGGTCCCGCCCAGAGACCTAAGGTTAGAAATGGCGTCATGACACTTTCCACTGATAAAAAAAAAAAAAAAAAATAAATTACATAGATAAAGCCCTTCGTAAGGTGTGGGCTGTACTTGCCAGAACAATTTTTTGTATCTCCTTGAGGCATGGACTTCCAGGAATCCCTTCAATTAGTCTACTGCAATCTTTTCCAACCAGTCCTAGGGCTCCAACTACAACAGGGATTGTTGATGTTCCCATATGCCACATTTTTGAGATTTCTATTTCAAGGTCCTTGTATTTTGACAGCTTTTCGAATATCTTCAAAGATACATTACAGTCTGCAGGGATTGCCATATCAATAAGGAGGCACCGTTTTTGTTTGTGGTCTCTATTTGATTTCTGGTGGGCACTCATTTCTTTGCGGGTCCCGCCCAGAGACCTAAGGTCAGAAATGGCATCATGACGTTTTCCACTGAGCAATTAAAAAAAAACACACACACACACACAGATATATTTTATATAGATAAATACCCTCGTAAGTTGTGGGCTGTACTCGTGAGAACATTTTTTGTATTTCTTTAAGGTATGGGCTGCAACGAATCCCTTCAATGAGTTTATTGGAATCTTTTACAATCAATCCGAGGGCTCCAATTCCAATAAGGATTTTTAATGTTCTCATGTGCCACATTTCGATTTCAAGGTCCTTGTATTTTGATAGCTTTTTGAAGATTTTCAAAGATACATTGCAGTCTGCAGGGACTGCCATATCAATAAGGAGGCAGGTTTTTTGTTTGCAGTCTCTAATAACAATGTCTGGCCGGTTAGCTTTGAGTGTTCTGTCTGTGTGTATTATGTAGTCCCATAAAATTGTTACAGGTCTTATCTCCGTAACTGGGTCTGGATGATGTTCATACCAATTTCTTTCAGTTTCCTTTCCATTGAAGTTGCAGATTTTCCAATGCAGATATTGGCCCACTCTGTCATGCCGTTTTATTATTATTATTTTCTTCTTCTTCTTCTACTTCTTCTTCTTCTTCTTCTTCTTCTTCTTCTTCTTCTTCTTCTCATTATTATTATAAAAACGCTATTTTTATTGCTTTTCTTTTTCTGCCAGTCAGTCAGTCATATGCCATGACTGACGAAGCAGATTTTTCCCGCAGTAGGTTGTCATTTCTTTCTGCGGTAGACCAGTTGCCATTCAAGGCTATAGAACCCGGTTTGTCCTGCTATTTACCCATAGCTGGTGAGAGAAGAAAAGGATTTATAACTTTCCCAAGTAAGTGACTGTAATGGATTTGACTGGAATTCGAACTCGTCTCTCCGATTCGTCAATCCGAGTCGCTCTGGGTCGGGTAGTACAGATCAGTGGAAACAGGTTGAGCAATAACAGGGTAGTACTAATGAAAGAATAAGACGAGATATCGTTAGACATGAACAATAGAACACGAACAATCTACTTCGTAGATTCAATAAAAAATTCAATTCGAAATTTCCTAAAGGTTGCCCGGATCGAAAGAAGACAGGGGAGCTCTACGAACGAAACGTCGTTATGATAACAGAAAAAAAAAATAGGAGATTAGTCCGAATATAAATAATGATGAATGAACTCTTCAGCAGAGAGATTGAGCTAGAAATGAAGGAAATTCTTTAAAAATTCTGGCTTAATTGATGATCTCAAGTAAGATTTGACCAGTTTTAGTTTTGAAAACTCCTTTCTTGTCATTTGAATTGTCAAGAAAATCTGAAGATCAATAAATGAATTGAGAAATGCTGTAAACCTTTTGTTGTAAGCAGAGGATTCAAAGATTTTTCACAGGGATTGAATCAGTAGTGAAAATTTAATTATTATGGTCAGTTGCACCTACTACATTTCTCGAGATTTTTGATGAAAGGATCTGCAATGTAATTGATCCTGACCTGGCATATCGACTTCAGTCATATTCTCACCGTCGTGACGTGGCTTCTTTCTCTATTCTTTACAAATAGTTTCATGTCAATTGTTCTGATGAGCTGTTCTACTTAGTGTCTCTACTGCTTAAATTTAAGCGTGCTACTAGACTGCCAAGTAGTTTTACTGCCGAACTAGCTAGATGCAACAGTCTATTCTATTCTATTCTAATCGCATTTCTCGCCTGAGGAACTGCCTTTCGATTTGTTGCTTCCCTGTCACCTACAATCTTGAAAAATGTAAATGCAACATCAGTCGCCATATGCCTTCCTGAAACACTGTTCTTTTAATGTCCTTTTTCCCCGCTTTTCTCCATAAAGTCTTCTCATTCTTTTTCACTTCCTGTAACCCCTTGCGTCCTAGTGTTACGGTCACTTTTTTTGGGGGGGGCGGGGAGTGAAATGATTAAAAAATTGTAGTAAATGATGAGTTTAATTTGTTTGTTATTGTTGATAGGTGATAATTATTTATTAGCTTTTTCATATATTTTTATCTTGCTTCTGACTATTTTGTCGTTAGTTTCTGTGAAATAGATTAATCACGTTTTATTTTTGCTATTATTTTTACTTGATTTTCTAAGTCTTAATTTGTTTAGCTATTAAGTGGTTTGTGCCATTCGTGTTAATGTTCAGATTTTATATTCTTTTATATAATATTGTGTGCGTAGATAAAAAAAACAATACCATCATTATACTGTTGTACAGAAACCACATACGAAATAACCAATATTCACTCTCATTTTCTTTCTATCTCCCCCATTTTTGTATATATCTTTTTTTTTGTATCTCTCTCTCGCTCTGAATTTGTCCCTCTTTCCCTGTATATCTCTCTGTAGTTAGTTAGATAGTTGCCTTAGAACAATACTTAGCAAGATAACATCAGATATATTCACTAAAATGGTGAATTTGTTTCTCATTTGCGGACTTGTATGTTAAACTAAATTTAACAAAGATCTAGCTAGATATCTGGATAGATGTGTATGCGTCGACTGGAACGGATGACGAATGAAATTGGATGACCAATTCATTTTCGTAGTAATGCACATGTGAAAGTCATGAACGTCTTTCTGTCCACCAGCTATTCGTTTAAATAGTAGAGCGTTGAGTGGTAACTAAACTAATAGAAATAGGGAAATTGAATTTCTAATCATGAAGAAAATAACACGAAACAACGCCCCTATGTTCCTCAAGAAGTCATGGCATTTCACAGGATATCCAGAATATTCGTCTAAGCAACACTGGTCTAAGGAATATTGGTCTAAGAATATTAGTCGGAGGAACAATCATCTAAAGAATATACGTCTGAGTAATATCCGTCTGGAGAATTATATTCTAATGTGGGTTTGTATTAATATACAAACAATGCATTCCAATAAATGATTATAAATCACATGCATCATCAGTCATTAATGTTATTATAAGTGTCTTAAATATTATTCTGTAATATGGTGAATATCAATAAAATTAAGTAGTTTGTACATGAATAAAGTTACAACTAAAATATTATTATAGATCAATGGTCGTTAGACGAGTATTCCTGAGACAAATGTTCTTAGACAGGTTTCCCTTAGACCAATATTCTTTAGATGAATGATCCTAAATTCATTTAATAGATAATAAAGAAACAATACAAAATAGATATTAAAAATAACAACAACAAAAAAAAACAAAGCAATATAATTTTGAAAAAATGAGAGGAAGTGCAGGTAGGGAGATGATTTCCTATGATTTTACAAAAAGAGATCCTTTCCTTTTATTTAGAAACTCTAACGCTGACCTCTTATGGGGGTAGAAAGTTTACAACTTCAAATAGATCTTCTCTTTCTATCTTCCTTTTTTTATCTCTCTCTCGCTATCTATTATCTATCTATCTATATCTATCTATCTATCTATCTATCTATCTATCTATCTATCTATGTGAATATATATATATATATATATATATATATATATATATATATATATATATATATATATATATATATATATATATATATATATATATATATATATATATGTGTGTGTGTGTGTGTTTACAGACATGCAAATCATATTCAACGGATGAATAAGATTAATAACTAACAAAACAAAAATCCCAGGGGCCAGTTTTGAATATTCATTAATATTGCCTTAATAAAGCCTTATTCACACCACCTCACTTGATAAGGCTGCATTACATACTAGCACCTGGTGAGCCATCACTCGACAGTCTGGTTGTATTTATTGGCTGCTTTGAACTTGTATCAATTTTAATACTGAAAAATGAAATAAACTCGTTCCTGCAAATCAAAATATCTAATTACCCTTTCATGCTAAGACCTTAGTATCCCACAACGGCATTCACCTAGTGCAGTTTGGTGAAGGAAATCTCTTTGAATTATGATCATTCTTATTATTACCGGTATGAGTATTAGTAGTAGTAGTATTAGTAGTAGTACTATTGCTACTATTTCATAAATAAAAGTAAACATCAATGGCGAGATTCTCGTCATGGTAATTGAGATTTTATCCATTATTATTATTATTATTATTATTATTATTATTATTATTATTATTATGCCTTCCATTGGCGGACCAAGTAACAGCAAGTTTCGTGAAAGCTTCAACACATTTCCCCGTCTTCTGACAGATATGCTTTAACGTCTCAGTTCTAGAATCATACAATTTTCGCGGTGCCAATCGAAGTTACCCCAACTGCTCTAATAACTATAGGCCCGATCGTCATTTCCACAGACTGCCCGAATATGAGTTTAGGTTATTTCTTTCGTTTATTTTCACCCGATTGTTTGACTGGAATAATAGACTTTTATGCATTTCTTTACGATAACTAACGTCCGATTTTTAGGATTTGCTAGAATATTTTTTTTGAATTTCAAATTCCTAAAGACATCCTGTTTCGATTCCAGTGAACAACCTCTAGACTGAACAACGTCTAGATTGCACTTATACAATTTTCATTTAACAAAAATGTATTTTGTTATATTGCTTTAATGTCCCGTAATAAATGTTTATTATTTTCAAATTTCACTTAGTAGTTTCAAGTCTTGTTGTATGCGCCATTTTTTAATATTCAGGATAAGAGAGTTGACGTTCTCTCTTTTTCCACACTCTTCAGGGAATACATCCTTTTAGTATATCTCAAGAAATGCGAAAATGTATTCTTTATCTAACTCTTCGCAGAAGAGAATGAACTACATTTGCAATAACTGACAGAGATTTTCTGCTGAAAATTTAAAATCAATCAGAGGCGACTTTATGTCGGGCTCGTCTTCGCCCTTAAAATATATTTGCTTTTGTTCATCTGCCATCATTGGTGACCATCTGTCATTTTAACCTTCCCTTCAAAATGACCACAACATACGAGCTCAGAAAATAACGAAGAATCGACATTTAAGAGTTCTGAAATAAATTGGAATTGACAATTACTAGTTCTGAAATAAATTGGAAATTATCGAGTACGATAGCTAAAGAGAACAGTATATTCCTGTAGACCAAATAAAAGGCTTAGCATTGCATTTCAGAGGATATCAAAGACGTCAGAGACATGAAAATGGCCAGGAAGCACAACGATCGAAACGTTGTTTTAAAGAAACTGAATATGAAAGCATTAGACACAAAGCAGCAACGCAGAATAATTTGCTAAAAAGCTAATTACATTACGCTTATCACAAGAAAGCTCCGGGAAGTTTTATAAAGAATTCTATAACTTTTTAAAAAAGGCCTGAGAGTTACTAAACTGGTTCCTGGGTCTTAGATGAAGACATATTGGCGACTTTTTCGAATGCTATGGTTGCCACAACTGATCAGAGGAATTTTTCTTGGAGGATAAACAGGAGATAACCTGATCGCTTGGATGTAAAATGAGGACACGTTTAATTTAGAAACCGCTAATCTATATTTCAGCCTGCTTCTAACAACAGATATATTATTCTGTAAACATTGGTAGCACCACCATATATTACACGCACACATCCACAAACACAGACAAGAAATAGGACCAAGATTCAGATTGATACATGCATATATCAAATCTTCATCACACACACACACACACACAACACATACAAATGTATAGGCTGTATTTAGGCAGTAAGAATTATGTAAAGCATGCTTGTTTGAATAATATCGACAAGTTCTGCCAATCTAATATTTTATTAAGTTTTTATAAATTTCCGAATTAGTTTTATAATCGGTAAATTTATCAAAGCTCTTTTTTTATTTCTTCCTAAGTACTTTCGAATATTGCTACATTTGTTTTCAAGGATTTCGTTTTTGTGTACATATATAAGTGTTTTTGGCTAATTGCGACATTCCCTTAATTGCTGCGATCAATTTTAAGTCACTGAAGTTGACGTCATTTATAGCGGTCAAACGGAATTTTTACATGTATTTAAATTTTTTAATACACACTTCGATATACGATACCCTGTGGAGAATTATACCTTATTTAATGTTGGCTGCGTTCCTTGTATTACAACGGCTTCCACAATTTTGAGTCTTTCTTTGAAAACAAAATTGAACTCCAGTATATTTACCGATTATATAAAAAGTTAATAAAAATTGGATATTATTCAACCGTCGATAATATTCAACCAAACATGTTTGAATATATATATATATATATATATGATCGAAATAAAAGTATAAAACTTAATATTACGAGATATAATAAAAAAAACGGGTGAAGCAACCGGATTCGCTCCCGCTTTTCAGGCTTCAACGGGAGATTTAAAATTGACACAGAAAAATGTACAATAAAAGGAATAAAAAAAAAAAACAAAAAAAATAGTGTTGACTGGTTCACCGTGTTGTCCCGGTCTCACTCTTTATTTCATCTAAAGGTTCTGGAGGCACTTTACATCGGGTCCCGCAAGCCTTCTTTCTGCAAACAACGTGAGTGTTTGTTGGGACTCGCTGTCATTTGTCTCTAGTTCCTTTTTTCCCACCGCCGTAAGATTGTCTCTCTATGTTTTTTGATTGTCTCTCTATGTCTTTTCTATAAAGACTTTATTCATAATTGTTCGGATGAGATTTTCGCTATGGTACCTAGCCTTTTTGAATTTAAGTGCAATACTAGACTGGCGTTGAAATCTCATCAATTTACAGTTGAGCTAGCTAGATGTAGTCCTAAATTCTATGTTAACAATTTCTTCTCTCGCACTTCTCGTTTGTGGAACTTCCTTCCAGCTCCATGCATTCCAGCGAACTTTAATCTGCAAACATTTCAATCCAATGTCAATCTCTACCTACTGTCCACCTGTTTACTCTCTTCTCTTTCTGCTCATCATTTATGATTCTATTTCTAATTCTTCCACACTTTGTAACCCTTTGTGTTTTAGTGGCATTACTGCTTTGCTTGAGGTGATTCCGGTTAAAAAAAGCAAAGAAAAAAAAAGACCATTTAAAAAAATCTCTTGGGAAATGTAACTGACATTTACGATATTAACGTCGAGCAAATCATTGACTTTCCTCTTGACATTAAACCTGGAAAATTTACAGATGCAGAAATTGAAATGGCTTTCAAAAACATCAAACATAAGAAAGCAATGGAACTTGATAACATTCTCCCGGAGGTTTGGAAGACTCAGGATTTCAACGATATTCTACTCCAAGCCTGTAATACCACTTATAATGGAAAAGTCATAGAAAGATGGACAGAAGGCTTCATATTTCCTTTCCCAAAGAAAGGAGTTCTAGGACAGGCAAAAAAAAAAATATAGAATCACCTCCATTGCAACATAAATCTACAACTCGATGTTTCTCAATAGAATACAGCCGGAAGTAGAAAAAATCAAAATGGCTTTCGGAAAAGTAGACCAACCATTGGAAAAATCCTGACTGTTCTGCGGCTTATTGACGGTGTCAAGGTAAAGAATCTATAAGCCGCTTTACTTTTTGTAGATTTCTCTAAAGCCTTTGATTCTGCACATAGGGGAAAATGGAGAAGATCTTTGTCGCATATAGTATCACCCTGAAATAGTAACTGCCATAATGATGACATAAAAATACCACATTATTTGTTAGATCACGAGACGGAGACATAAGTTTCTTCAACATTAAGCAGGGGTCACTGAGGGTGACACCTTTGCATTTTTCTCTTTGTTGTCATCCTTGATAAGTATTAAAAACTTCCCTCGACAAACACCATTATCTAGGTTTTACTTTATCACAAAGACTCTCCAGTCGATATCCAGCAAGAAAACTGACAGATATTGACCATGCAGATGACTTAGCTATCAGTGCAGCCACCATTTCCGATGCCAAAGTTCTCCAACATCATCTACAAAGTGATGTCAACGATATTAGACTCTATGTCAATGCCTCTAAAATTGAATTCATAGGCATCAACCAGCAAGCTTCCATATAAATATCCGAGGTGAATCAATCCAATCTGTCGAATATTTTACATACTTAAGAAGCGAGATTCTAGTGTAAAGGATCTTTAAATTCGCAAAACTAAAGCCTGGGCGTCCTGGAATAAAACAGATGTAATCTGGAAATCTGATTCTACCAGACAACCTTAAGTGGAGATTCTTTCGGGATACTTTAGAGGCGGTTTTAATGTATGGTGCCACTGCTTGGACATTAACTAAAACCCTAGAGTCTAAGCGTCATGGAACCTACACTCGGGTGCTGAGAGCTATACCTAACATCTCTTGGAGACAATATCCAACTAAATCTATGAACGCATCCATAATATTTCTGCACCTACAACCACCTACATTGACAAAATATATCATGACACAGAATGCGACCTTAATGACCTTCCGACTTTGATGCAGGACCGTGATGATTGGCGTGATAGATTCATGAATATCCGCGCTAGATCGACCGAATAAAATTTAAAAAAAAAAACCAAGAGGTACGATTACCTCGGTTTAAAAATCTTCGTTCTAGCGTCTTTAACTCTTCATGTTATAA